TTCTCATGCAATTCTTACGAGATGAACCATGTATGTTAGTTACCTAGGTAAGTATTCACTGTAACTTGAAAGTCTGTGATAAATTTTTATTTCTTATTAACCTCTGCCTCCTAACTTCAACTTGCAAATCCCTAATTTCCATTATATTCCATAAAGGCAGTTTTGAACAATTTTGTCAAAGATGAAAACAAAAAACGCTAGTATGTCAGTATGAGTACTTACATTATTCATTAATTACAATTCCTAACTCAGTAGCCCGCTCCCTCTCGGCCGTCCGCTCCGCTTGTCACCAAGCCGTACTCTCCCAAGAGCCCACTAATGATTGTTCATGATTTATTTGCCCAGCTTATTTTTATAGTCGCCTGATTCCACACGATGATGGAAAGGTGTACGTCTCCATTATTTTTAACTTGTCTCCCGACTATTTGTGGGAACAGTTTATCGGACAAACTTAAAGTAAGAAGTTAGTTGTTGTTGTACCAAAGTATACTTAGGCTACTTTAGGTATAATTTTTTACAGATAGGTCACCAACTGATTGATGTTCGATTCCAGTTTTTACGTGGTTTGTGCCTCACAGTGCAGATAACAGTTTATTCTTGCAATAAACCACTTTTACACGTCAAAAAAAATTTGTAAAATTTATAGAATCAGGCGTTACTTTGCGGATATCCATGACATTAAATGTTAGGAAAAATATTTAGTTTTTATTTCGCGACAAAAAATCCAGGCTTGTTGCAGGATGCAATCCCACATCTATGCAATCCCTCTTTGTGGAGTGGTTTGAGAGACGCCACGGCGTCCTCACCTTCTGCCTGACGCAGGTGTTTACCAGGCACTGAAGCCTCGGTGGTACCCGTTTCGGATCCGGTGCGCGGCGGAAGTAACCACCCGGTTGTCGTCATTGTGAGGATCACCCAGAGGAGAGCAAACGGTGGTGCGCTTGGGCTGAGCACCGCCGTGTTTTCAGGGCAGTGATTGGCGGCGACGACTTAGTCGAGGCCATGCTGCGGCGCAAGAGGAACTGAACTCTCGCCGTCTCCTCTTTTTGTAAAGCAGTGATGCTGATTTATTTCGTTGCGGAATCCAAGACAGTCATTCATGTCCCTGGGACGCGCCAGACTTCAGCGTGCCGGTGTTTTCATGGTTGTATCTACTGTAGATCCTGGCTTACAGAAGTTGCAGCGGTTTTTGGAGGTTGCGGCGGGGTTGCCCCAAAAAAGCAGTGATGCTCGCAAAGAAGGTGGAGCGCGTGAGGGAACTATCCTGCTAAGCCCCAGCCGCCGCAGTAGGCGACACTCCGAACGTCAGGGATCGAACGGACGATCTCCGCCGCCGTGGACTCGTTTTTTTTCTCTTTATAATATGTGGTCATCATACCCGGAACGACCAGGAGGTTATAAGTTATGTAACGGTAGGCATCGAACCCACTACAGGTTTGCACAGCAGTCAGTTGCCCAATCACTGCATCAACTATGCAGTGAGGTTGGATGCACAGGTAGGCAGGTATACAAAATTGATCTCGCGATTGAAAGAGAAATCGAAACTATTTTTAGTACCTATTAACTTGATTTCCAAACTTGGATTATTTGGGAAATAATCGATTTAGAATTTATGTACTGACTAAATAACATTGTAAATCTAGTCAATAAGAAACATTCTGTATGCGACAGTTCCATGTGAGCTACGTGACTAACAACTCGAGTTGTCCCGAGTCGATTAAACATCGAATAACCAATCGATATCATTATTAAGTTAGAGGGTAACTTACAACAAAATAAAACTCAAATTCACATCAGTTTAATTTATTAAAGTAAAAATTACTTGTGTATGTATTACCACAAAACAAATACATTCTCCTTCAAAATTTGTGTCATAAAAATAAAATTACTCTCTGTGACACTGCGACAGGATTTTGTTTGTTGAGCACTTGCGTCCTTTGGCAGTTTCGGCTAGCACTATGCTTATGTAAAACAAGATTTTGAACTTTATTACTAAACAAAAAAGTTGAAAATGCTGTTGAAAATTCCTGAATGAGCTAACAGAAGGCGTGGCTTCTAACTCCCCAAAAGTGTATTAAAACTCGAAAATAAAATAATAAATAATAGTTTTCCTTCGTAAGTATTGGACGCAAGTACCCACAAGAACAATACTGCAAAACAATTGTAAATTATCATCTAATATTCAGATCTTAATATAAAATACAATATGAATATAAACTATGCATTGTTTAGTATGTTATAACAACCATTTTAACTGTAACAATTCATATAGAGATATGTTTGAGCAGTAACGAACTGGACAGAGAAAGTTAGGACTCAACTATTATTTTAATGAAATAGGGCAGCAGACGAATATATTGCTCAGAAAGTAAGCACAGCCCATGGATTAGAGATTGCTTAGTGTAGATTTTCCTATGTATATCAAACTTAAAATACGTTATTTTGCTTCACTTTTTCCGCATAGATTTGAAATGCGTCCTTAAGAACTTCCATATAATTATTAGAAAAAGGAGCACAGAATTTTTACTTTACGTTTAATAATAAAGAAGACTGTACAATCCATTACCACAAAAACTATGTACTTTAAACTTTATTATTATAGCCGCAGTGTCTATTTTCTCTTGGATGTTTGTGCGGATATGAACATTCAATAATTTTCTATAGCATTCATTTGTAATGGTACAAAAATAACTTTGGACCCGATTCACTCCAACACATTTAAAGGGTTCTATAGTAAGTATTAAAATTATTAATTTTATTATGTAGGGAAACATCTATGTACCGTATTTTATGTATGGAAGTATATAACGGGGTAAAGATATCGAATAGCGGTGAATATAGGTTGTGCTAACTACTTCTGCTAAACTGCTCAAGAAATATCGGCGTAACATTTACTTGCAATTTATTTTCTTACAATGTAGATAGTAAAACAACACCGCAAATATTGCAAATAAAATCTTTTTAATTTACCTAATTATTTGGTACATAGACATTTTATTGGACTTGAATTCATACAAGTACAAACTCATTGAATTCAAGTCCAGAGCCAAGCTTCGACGATTACTCGGTCCTTTTCAAATTTAACTGCCACTTTTAGCAAATAAATCATATCTTTAAAAATAAATTGTATCAAATTGTAGCTAAAACGACTGTTTCTTTTATTATTTTCGTACCGATTAATCGTCCACAAACTCTCAGCCTTGTGATGAATCTCTTGTGAGTTTTTCCATGTTATATTTCGTTGTTGATGCTACATTATGCTACATTAATAATAAAATATAATTAATTAAGTACATAATAATACATTATTGGAGTTATTGTTTTGCGGACAAGAGTAGTTTAGTATTCTTACTCGAGTTTTCTTAACTTAAATCCTGTTTAGACTTAGTTCGTTATTTTCATCTAACACTGACTATTTTGAGTAGTTGGGAAAAGCTCACAAAAGACAGATATCTAAATCTAACATTCCTAACATTAATATCCCTTCTGAAACAAAGCTACATATATTCAAATTGTCTTTCGTATTCACCAATATGGCGTAGAATACCATCGAAAAATCAAGTAAATATATGAATTATTTAAAAAAGGCATAACATACAATTAACTATTGCTTTATACCATGGAAACAGTACCACGCACGGTGGAACGATAAAAAAATTATTGCTATCTTTGCATTTCACGATTTCAAGAGAAATAATTTATTACAAGACACATACACACTGAATCCACGGCATTGAGGTATATCTAGAAATTTAATTACATATTTATTATACCAATTATTTATAAATTTGAAATATTATGTATTGGTGTTACACATCAAGTTTTAAATCTATATGGGTAATTGTTTACGACAAAGGACCCGACAATCATTACGGTCTTAAAATTGTTAAAATCCTTTACATTTTTATTGCTACGCAAATTTCGCGTTTAATCAATTTCCAATCATATTCACTTATTTCTAGACTGAAAATTGGTTAACAACGAAAGTTACTAACCTTATACACTACACGTCAAAACCGTTAAAAAGTTAATATAATAATTTCAAATCATTGAGTGATATCAGTAGATTTTCATCGCAAATCCTCGCATAAGTTCTAACAATCAGAGTCGAAAATATATTTCTTTCAAGAGTGTGAACAGCTATGGTTATTTCAAATATATAAAATATATTATTTTTATTATTATATCATTCGTTTCTAATGACTTGAAACAATTATTCGACTTCAATGGTTAGAGAACTTATGCGAAAAAATACAAAAATTTATAATATTAATTCTAACAAAAAAATATGTACTTGTGAAATGACAGACAATTTAATCAAACAACAAAATCAGTGAGAGAATAATTGACAAAATGCTGACAATACCTTCAAACCAATGCTTAGAACACGTTTATATATTAAAACATATATAAAATACATTGAATAGGTGTTCACTAACACTGGATCCTTCATCAACTGGCTCACCACTAAGTAGAGATAAAATCTTCAAAATATACTCATAACTTGGCACATAGTAGTTTATACTTAGTGTGCACGACAATATGTGTAATTTTAGCTTCAATGAACATATTAGAAATCTTTAGTGTTATTTAGTAACATGATTTTCTGCAATAATTCATAATTTAAGATGAGCAATTAAAATTCTTTTATCATTATCTCGCTTCGCATGTTCCAACTCCGCATGTTTGAATGTCAAGCAAAATAAGTTAATTATTCTTATAATTTCGTTATACTGGTGCAAAAGAGTATTGTTTCGCATTTGTCAGGGGGCACCAAAGTGTTCCCGTCATGACGAACTAAGTACATTACATTGCTCAATTTTTTTATTAGATCAGAAATCAAAGAAATATTTTTCTTATTGCTTTTAAATTTGTTTCTAAGTAATGTTGTCCTGTACTTAATACGAAGCGCAAAATCAATTCTAAACCATGTTAACTTATTGCCATATTAAAGCAACAAAAGATAAGGCTGATGTTTGGTTTTCAAAAATACCTTTTTACTAATTAATGTGGATGTATTGACATTGATATGTGTGGTGAACCAATGATGTTGGTGTAAGTTCAGCATTTCCCCAGCTACTCGCTTACCGTGGCCCGTGGTACTCAATAGTTGTTTCTAAAGTTCCTGTTGGGTTTGAAGCCGCCACCGCCGCCGCCACCACTGGGCGAGGAGTTCAAGAACAGCTCGACGTAGCGGTGATCCATGTTATTCTTGTCGCGTCTCATTGCCTGGTCAAAGATATACCAATCATTTATTTCTTGACATATTATATCGAAAACGATTAAAAAGAATATGATGTGCGTGTGCGAAATGGGTTAGTGAGTAGTAATAAAACGGCATGCATTTGCATTGCTTTTATGAATTGTAGCGAAATAATCTGAATGCCTATTTTTAACCCCCGACGCAAAAAGAGGGGTGTGCGGTGTTATAAATTTGACGTGTCTGTCTGTCTGTCTGTGGCATCCTGGAGCCTGAACGGCGGGTGAAGCGATTTAAATTTACTTTTTTTATACGTCCATCCAAACAAATATCATAAATGCGAGTGTAACTCTGTTTGTCTGTCTGTCTTTTCTTCACGCCCAAACTACTGAACCGATTTCTGTTAAATTTGGTACAGGCATAGTTTGAAACTCGAGAAAGGACGTAGGATAGTTTTATACCAAAAATCTGCAGGAAGTCACTTTTTCACGCGAATGGAGTCGCGGGCAAAAGCTAGTTTACTATGTTATTGAATCGCAAAATGTGTTGGTAAGTTTATAACTCGTGTACTATAAATATTACATCAGAAAAACTAAAAAATCGAGTTCTCTACTCACCCTCATAGCATCCTCGTGACACTCGAACTCGACATCAGCCTCGCCAGAAGGCCGACCACTGTTGTCATACAGAATGTTGATGTTCATGGGACGGATCGGCTTGAAGAACTGTAATGTTAAACACATTATAATTAAAAATTCTATATCATGATATTGACTACACAGACGACGCGGTTACTAGGCAACCTGCTCCCGTACAAATACAATGTGTCATGGGTGCTATTCCCACACTAAAGAAGTCTTTCTGTGATTTATAAATTATTGTTGAGGGTCTGAGTACTATGTGTATGCATAGTTTGAAAATACTTTATAATTTTTATAAACAAAGTATGGTGACTCTTTTCAACAAAAACCATAAACAACTGACTTCGTTTTCATCTTTTATTAACGACTATGGAAACAAACAATAAATTGATAATTAACCCTATTTCATAAATAAGTGACGATTGGCAATGATAACTAATTATTTTATGGCTGATTATTCCAAAGACAGAACAATTTCGTGATTTTCTCTCCCTTTGTCTTAAGTTATTTAGATAGTAAAATACTAACATAGGCAATATCTTGTGGAGTAGCTTTGAAGGGCAGACCGCGCATGTGTACACAGTGACATCCACTGCCACCACGACGGAATCCGCCACGGCCACCGCCGCCATAACCGCCTCCTGTTAAAAATATTCATTAATTATTAAAATACAACAAAAAAATATAATTATTTGTGCAAGCAATTATAAAAGATACCGACAGCAGTTTAATAAGTGAAATAAATTACATAAATACGAAAATATTCATTTAAAATAACAAGAATAAGGATTATCCCAACATGCATTAAATTTCATACTTTATCAAGACAAGTTAAACTTCAGTTATTTAGTCACAGGAGACCTGTTAAAAATATAACTGATTCATTACCACCAATCGAAAGCAGCTCCATGCAAACTGCTTTCAATATTTAGAACATCAGATACTCAAAGCGATAACCACCACCGAAGGACTCACCCCTACCAAAAGAACCTCGTCCCCTATTGCCGAATCTTCCAGAAAATCTGTCGTTCCTGTCATATGGGGTCGGTCTGTAACCTCTTGACCCACGGAAACCACTCTCAACACGAGCAGTATAAGCACGAACCTCGTCTGCTGAACTCAGGAATACTTCTATGTACCTGTTGGGGGGAAAGGAATGGTAAAATTGTTGCCATATTTTAGACTTGATGGGTCTCTATCAGTTTTGTTATTAAAGTTAGGAAGCTATAAGTTGGGTAAATGTTTTTGTATTGTAATTTATATTATGACTGTATTAAAAACCAATTAAGAACTAATAATAATGCGAAATTGAATTACTTTAAATTCTTATGGTTATTACATCATAATGACTTTCGTGTTATTTTGTTCAAATACAATATCTTTCACAATGTTTGTTCAATAATAAAATAGAAAACCGCATTCCATTGAAGCAATAGCTGATTAAGGATATTTTTGTCAGTCTTATATGCAGATGCTTGTTTCAATACATTTATCAGGCCGAAGCTAAACTCAAGGTTTAAATTTCACTTTATGAGCTGGTTTGTGATAACTATTCTTGTGAAATAAACAAAACCCTCCCCAGGGCAGTCTCCCATGCTTGCTAAATAAATAAAATATATAACTACGTATTTATAATGATCACATTACAATAAATATGTACACCTTTTCTGCTGAAAAATATATAAATAATGTTTGAATTTCGAAGCAATTTTCTTTTTAGAGATACATATAACCTGAAAACCCTTATACTAACAAATACCACGATTTTATTAAATATTATTAATATGTCGATCCCGCAGTCCATCTTGCCCGCTTCGTCTCTTCGCCCCGCGCCCCGCCTCCCCTCGCCCCGCGCTCTCCCAACCTCTGACAACTCAACAACCAATCACTAATACCACTCCTGAATGCCACCTTTTGAAGACTAGCCATTAATATACGGTATTGCAGAATTATACAATACCGTATCTAAGGGAACTAGACTAATATAACACTTTTATGTTTAAGCCATCACAGTAGAAACAATAACACAACAAAAAATAAAATTAAAATAATCTGCACCCAAAACAATGGCAGTCATTCGTCGTTACTTTTATTCTATGACGACAACTGCCAGATGAACATTAAACAGAAAAGTGCTGGACAAAGGTAGCATTAAGAAAGTGTCAAATTGTAAATTGCTTTTTGTAATATACATTTTTCCATTACACAAAATCCCATAATTCAACTATTACGCCCACCATTCTGTTACTGGCCAATATGATTTCAACCATTCTCAAAATCCATTAAAATGTCACCAAATAATTCATTTCATTCACCAAAAATAGAAAACCATAAAGTAGACCAATAACATAGGAGGCCCCATACTTAACCCACTACACCAAATATAATATTGCCGTCAGGGTTTGTCTTGCTGTGATGGGCAAATAGGGCACCTATACTATACTCGAAACCTACACGTGTTAAACTGTATAATCTACTCTTTAGTTTATTCTAAGATAATTAGACAGGAAGGAACTTTTGATTTAAAATTACCAAACAATGAAAACTGACAACCAACTATAATATCAACACTGACATAATCATTTAAAACATCCTGTTAAATGTTTTGTTATACAATACAAAAATGTTTAATTTTTTTCTGGTTAATATTAGCTTCGATTGAAATATAGTGCAGTGTAACCCCATATAGAAGATAATTTAGAATGCCTAACAGTCCCGGCACCTACTGCCCTAATTTCCCACCACAGCTTCTTTCCAAACCGTGGGCACATTGTAAATAACTTTGCCCCCCACCTGTGTCCTATTTTCTCCCTGTCCCTGTTGAGAGCCTCTTGTGCGCTCTCCTTGTCTACGAAGTGTACGAACGCCTCTCCTGAGGCCCGCCCCGTGACGTCGGAGAGCAAGTGGACCCCATCCGTGGCGACCGTCAGCCCTGCCCCATCCGACGTGCAAATAAAGATCAGGTTATATGCCTTGGGGTAAAGGTAGCTGGCTGGGGGTAACGTACGACATGCATGCAGGGTTAATCTCATCCAATTTACACTTTCTGGTCACTGAGTACAACTGAAGTACATTTTAGTATTGATTTTTTTAGAATCATGACTGCCTTGCATGCTACTTTGTTAGACTATAATAGTTTTATTATGTTAAATCTGACTTATTCTGCTGGTAAATTTCTAGTCAATAATTTTCTTTAAATTAACCCTCAGCACAGCTACCAAAAATACCTAATAAAATAACCCCACATAGAGTTCTAACATGAATTTTATTATAAATAGATCTTACCGTCAAAGAACTGGATGATTTCTTCCTTATTGCAGCCAAAAGGCAAACCTCGCAGCTTGACAATACCCATATCATCAGATACATTGGGTATACCATCAAAGCCACCATTTTCGGATTGACGCATAGCATTTATAGCCCATTCCATATCTTGACGATCGGTGGAAAAGACTGAAAGCAAACACAAAACTTCATAGCATATTCTCAACAGAAACCATGTTCTACAAAATCAATAAACACAGAAATGTGGAAATATGGATTAAAATTTCAATCCATACTCTTTTACATTAAAGTACTAAATGAAATTGGGCACTGAGATAAATTATAGTCCAATGACTACTTAATTAGGCTGTATACTCTGGTACTTCGCATGAAGCTGCTGGCAGAAACTAGTTTATTAGATTGTTGGTGTATTCAAAATAGTACTCACAATACATTTCAATCTAGGAAATCCAAAAAAAAATTGTTCTAAATTATTTTATACTGAATCTATTTATGTCACTTTGTAACAATAACATACCTAAAGCTGCTTTATAAAAAAAGTATATAAACATTTTCGAAATCAGTGAGGAAAACTATTCAGCCTCATGTAAAAAACCTCATGGAACAGGCATGCTGTATTCTGGAATATTATATTTAAGTAGGTATGTACAGTTTTATCAGTTTCGACTATCCATCAATTTTTACCCACAATATTGTACTATCATTGTAAAAACAAGCCAAATTCACGTTATGTAGGTACTAACCATTTTCCTGTTACTCAAATTAAATGCTAAACAAAACTTGATTGTCAATAATTGGATAAGAACTAAACTGTATGACATTTTACAAAAAAAACCATACAAGGAAAATTAAAAAATACAATAACATTGTTATTTCATGTTAATTTAACAGCAATGTAATCAGTAGTTTAGTTTACGTAATAATAAGAACAGTAACTATTATTATTTTATTAATTTTAATACTTACTCTCAATGTATCTCTTGCCCATGTTATCTTTATCCTTCTTGAGAGCTTCCTCCACATCTTGCTGGCTCTCTACTTCTACAAAACATTCCCCTGATGGACGACCGGGTCGCACCTCAGTCAAGTGGACACCTGAAGCAAATAGTTAATGGCTTACAACCTACAGAAAACTCTACATACAAAACTATTGTTGGCTTACTTAATACTACAGCAAATTTACAGACATGCTACATAAAAGTACATCTTCATGCCTGTTGCCATTGGATGAAGCAATGACAAAAGCATGCCAAACAACATAATTATTAATTAAAGGAGAATTTGTTTAAGCAATAGAATTGCATTTTCGGCTCGCTTTTAATTTATTTGATTTGTACACACCAAGTCATCTTTGTATTATGTGGGTAGGCTGTACCTAATTAAAAAATGCCACTGTCTACAATCTATAGATCTCAAATTTTACTTCTAGTTTTCTATAATGTTGTTATTCTGATCATACAAGCACAGTATTCTTTGCAATGTTATTAAGGCAGTTGTGATCTATGTAGCCAATAAAATGAAATAATAGGTGAACTTCGAGTTTCAAAATGCAACTCTATGCTAGGTTTTATCAAGAGGTACAACAATGAAGCATTGTGCATTAAGTATACATTTGATAAGTCATGTTTAGGAACATTGCTGCAAAAAGGCGTGGGCGCCGGTCAAAATGACCGCGTGACCCTTACTACGATCAATGAAAATACGTTTAAATATGGAACTGAATTACATAAACAGCGCGAAATACATTCAAGCTTATTGTAACTCTTAAAGTTTAAAAAATACCACTTCAACTTGTACATTTCAAATTACATTAGGGAAGAGTACTAATGTAATCTGGATAGAGACTAAACTTGAGCTGAATGTAGAATTTAATGCTAAAATTGTATATTTTATCCGCTGAACAGATAATACAGACAACCGGTATATTTGGCAAAGGTCAAACTAACAAGGCAGTGACGAAATTCGAATCAAAACAGTAATTTTGTACCATTTGGAATATAAAATGGTTGGGTATTATTTGTATGTATAGGTATCGCTTTTTTAAAAGGTTACTTACCTTCTTTGCCATTACATACGTTGACGCCCCGGAGAAAATCGAGGACATCTTCTACGGTGGTGGAGAAAGGCAAGCCGCGTAACTTAATGATATAGCTGCTATCTCCGGAACCCAACATTGTCCCGAATAAAATACCACACCAAACTTTAAATAACACAATCTGTTTAAAAATAAATCTCGTCGAAGTAAAACTGAATGATAAATTGTTTTATACGAAATGCGCGTCGATCACCCGCTTCAATTGCTAGGCGGCCATTAATTTTTTTAACGATGTTTAATGTTGTGTTGCCAGCCACTTGCCTTATACATGCCAGTAAGCAAGAAAACTACCCAATACCCATACACTTAAATGTAAACTTTTTGAACCATTCGTTTTTTCCAACTAAGAATCTATTTAATTAAGTTTTAATATTAATTCATTGTCAAGCAATGATTTGACTTTAATATAGTTGTGTTTATTTGTAATTCCATTGTTGATTAAAATTTCATTTCTTTTTAGACTATTCTCAATCTGTTTAATGTTGACTTCATTTCATATTCATATCATTATCATTATTTTTATAATTCAGAAAATTCTTGTTATTAATATATTTTATTTTTATTTTGACAAATTTTACTATTTGATTGGCTTATGCTTTATGCTTGAAAGAATTAGGCTTTGATTAGCTACTTAAAAAAAAAACTTTGTTTTATATAATTTTGATCTCATTTCTTGTTATTAGACTTAATATAACGTAGTGTTAAAATTTAATTTAATACTTACATCATTTTAAATTTGTATTTGTATTCATGCTGTTACATTATATTTGCATGCTGTGGCTTCTTTTATGTGGAGAAGCACAAGAAAATATTTTGTTATGTATATTGTCTGGCATTTAAAGTGTTTTCTCTGTTGGAAGGTTCTTTATTAGTGATCGATGGTTGGAAGTCCAAATAAATGAATAAATATCTTAGAAATCGTTATATCTTTAAGTTTTGATAGCATAGAAATAGTTACCAGTCTATATAGAATAGGTACCAGTTAATAGTTTTTAAATATTACTTTTAAATGCTAAATTATAATAAACAAGATCAAAGAAATCACAACTACGAAAATTAATTCTGTTGGATACAACTAATAATAATAATTAGCATAGTCACCTTCAAGAATTGCATTTATCCGATGCAAAAACAATAATACATTACTCATATAAATTAAATTAAACAACTTCACTGTGCTATAACATGTATCGACAGAATACGTACATGTACACTTAATTATGAACTTTAAAATTAATGTAACACATTTTTTATTAAATTGATCTATTATTTTCCCTTCATGGAACCACATGATCCCGGATCCTTGGTAGACGTATGAAGTAAATTGCAGAGGTCCGTTGGACAATTTTAATTTAAATGTGATGGCACATTTAGGTCTTGGACAATCAGCGGTTGTGTCAGTAACTATTGTGATATGTGGTAAAAATTGATAAAGTCTCTGCCCCTGACCAATATTCATACAACAGACAGAGGGTAACTGGTAAGCTTAAGTAATGGGCCTTCTGGAAAGGATCGCAAGCATGTCGTGACCGAAGGGCAACATACGTTGAGGTGCTTGGAGAAAAAGAGGTATCTCACGGCTATCAGAGCTATTCCGGAAGTACGGTCAAGACCCCTAACAGTATATTACTAAAATTCATCATTCTCCCGAGTCTCCTTCAACTCCTACTATGGTGTATAGTTAAATAGCGGGACAATTAGGTATTTAATTAGTATCGAAACCACTCATTTCAAGAAAACATGAAAAATAATGTTTCAATTTACGATAACTAGGGATTAATGATAGGTATGCGATTGCTATGTATGCTTTTCATACTTATAATTTTTTCAAATAACGTGAACCTTAATTAAAAACCTTAAGAAAATAAATTTAAAAAATAAAGCCGTTTTAAAAAAATAAAAAAAAAACACTTAAAAAATCAAATTACACGTTCCCGTTTAATTAATAGTATGTTATATGTAGCTTTTGAATAACTTAATCTGGCAACTCTGGTTCTGTCGCTGTCGTCGAATCGAATAGTTGATTGCTATCGTTGGAATATCGAAAAAATTTGCAAAAGCTGACATATTTAATGTATTTGTGTGTATTTCGACACAGTTATATTTAAAACCCTATTCTGTATTTGGATTATCGTGCGCGTGTGTAGTTAAAGGTGTTAAAATGACTGTGGAAGGAGATGAAAAAGCGGTTCGGTCTCGCGTGTTCATGGATATTTCAATAGGGGGCTTGCCATCCGGCCGGTTGGTGTTTGAGTTATTCAATGATATTGCTCCGAAGACTGCTGAAAACTTCCGAGCATTATGTGCCGGAGATATGGGCGTCGGGAAGAACACGGGTAAACCGTTGACGTATAAGGTTGGTCCAAGAGAGATTTATTTACTTTTCAGAGTTTGCAAGATCTAGAGTTATTGATTTAGGTTTCATTAGCATTCCTATTGACCTATTTAGCTTCTTAAGTGTCATTATCGATCGTAACATGACCTAAATTAGCGATATTTGCATCAGTAAGGTTGAATAGAAGTAAGTGTTTATTATAATTACAATAATTGCTTAAATACCACCAATAAATGTGTGTTAAGATCAGCTTCTCCTTTCTTTCGACCTATTTAAGTACAACACAAAAAGTAACATCTTCTTTTTCTTCTTGAAAATCAAGTATTAACTATTACCATTCATATGGTCTTCTTTCTTAAAACCTAAGAGACAACTTGTTGATCACATTCCATCAGTTCAAGTCGGCTTTCAGCTTGAGTACCTCATACTTTACTTAATATTTCTTGTAAAAAATTCCAACAATATATAAATACTTGATGTGACTACCTATGTTCACTGATAACTTCCCAGCAGTGAATGAATTCCTTTAAATTAATCAAACCATTTTGGAGCTGATTCAAGTCAAACAAACAAATAATCACACCTTTCCTCATAATAATATTAGTTGAATAAGGGCTGATTTTTCAACAGATAGATAAAAGTTATCTGAGGAATAAAATTGTTGTTGTCACTCTCGTATATAAACATTCTGATGCGACAGCATCATAATTATTCCCCAGATAACTTTTATCTTACCAATGAAAAATCAGCCTTAGGATGTATAAAAAGTATCTTTTTTTATTTAATTTTTAAAATCTTCAAACCCCAAGCGACCACCGGCATTTTTACACCTATATTGTTCTTCTGTTGTGCCTTGAACTACCACAATTGAAAGTTTCTATTTAGTAAGCTCAATTTTTGTTTCAGGGCATGGTGTTCCATAGAGTTGTAAAAGACTTCATGATCCAAGGAGGTGACTTTACCAATGCCAATGGAACTGGTGGAGAATCCATTTACGGTGGTACTTTTGAAGGTATCCTTATCCTTAATTTTTATTAACATCACTTTTTTCTAGTTTACATAGACAATAACAAGAATAACATTCACAGGATACATAGACTTAATGTCTTTTGGTAGAAATGGTTTTTGATTTAAATAATAGTATGCTGCCATTCTCTGAGACATGTTATGATTTCGGAAGTTATTCTTTAGTATTGGTACTATTGAATTTGCGCAGAAACAACTGGATAGTATCTCCAGTGAAAAAAAATTATTCATTTTTTAAAACCATTAAAATACTGAAATCCAATCATATATATGATTGATTGATTGGATTCATTAACTTATTTAATATTCAAATATTTTATTGTTAATTGAAAATGATGTCACACACAACATGCTATACAAAATTCATTTTGATAAAAGTATTGAATTTGACTCATTGGAAACTGCCCTATTGCTAATGTCCATTAACCTCTTTTGATTGCTATGAGTACTGGAAGTACAATAAAAACATAAAAAGGTATAATAATATTCTATCACATTTCCCCAAAAAATGGGATCTGGACACTGAATCTATATTTTGCTATTTTCCAGATGAAACCTTTGAATTGAAACATGATCGGCCATATTTGCTGTCTATGGCAAACAGGGGCAAAGACACGAACGGTTCACAGTTCTTTATGTAAGTTACCCAGGAGATTGGTAAGAAAAATTTACCTAATGAAATGAAAGGTAATGGTGTCATATATAATATGTCAGAATTGACTAAGTTCATGTCAATAACTATAATTGACATGAATTTAGACAAGTGATTAAGATTGTATAGATGCTATACATATTTGTTTGTTGTTGTTCTTACTATACATATACAAGTACTTGAGTATTTGATCTTTTATTATATACTTAGGCTAAGATTGATGTCAAATTTTATATAAAGTGTGCCTTTAGTGCCTATGCCTGTGTGTAATAGCATTAATTTCAATTAATCATATGAAAAACCACTTTTGAAACGTTTTTGAAGCAAGGGCAGCTAGGTGTTTGAAAGAAAATCTACATTTGTAGAGACAAGAAAAAGCAAGAAACTTCATAGTTATTCCTTAAATGAAAAAAAGTATTGGACGCCCAAACGTAATCTGTCACACACTTTTACACACACTATCCCTTTCTTCTATGCCTATATAATGACAAATTCTTTAATCCATTGTGGTTTATTTACATATATGTCACACGTTTTTGTCTTAAGTATACATTCTTATTTTCTTACAGTGGAATATAGTAACTATTTAATGAAACATTTGGTTAATTCGATGTGCTTAAGTTCAATACAGCACAATTTATCATGAAAAGAAAAATAAATATAAGATTAACTTTTAATTAACTTCAGCATATTTCAACATCTTTATTGGAATCAAAACTGCCAATAGTTTGATTATTATTGTTTATTTTGACCATTGCTAATCTACAAATCTGTTTCATAATTTTCCAGTTTTTGAACCAACAACTTTCAATACTCATACTATCTCGCCTGCTGTAATTTTTCCTAATTAAAAAATTGCTCTGAATGTTGAGTATAGAAACATTACCCTATATGGACAATACATGAAAATCCTCCCAATTTCTGCCTTGAAATTCATACATTACAAGATAAAATTTCTAGATATTTCTACGAAAGAAGTGTCAAGCAACTGATACACAATGTTTTTCTCCTACAAGGGCCACTTGCATAGTGTGTAGTCATATTGTTATGAAATGTGTTGTGTATGCGTTGTGTAGAGGTCGCTGTCGGCGGCCGCGGCGCCCGCGCAGTCCCCCGCTATCATTTTGTGTTCTGTGTGTTGTAGAACCACACAGCCGGCGCCGCATCTCGACAAGTGAGTATTTACTATCTATACTTATATTGTAAAGCTGTAGTTACTTTGTTTGAACCAGCTAATAACCGGAGGCCCAATCCTTCCCCTTCCCCAATCCCTCCTCAATACCTAAATCTCCAAATCCCTAATCCATAAAAGGTCGGCAACGCACTCGTAACTCCTCCGTTGCGGGTGTCCATGGGCGGCGCTGATTGCTTACCATCAGGTAATCCGTCTGCTCGTTTGCCGACCTATTACATAAAAAAAAAAAAAATTTTTTTGCGTCAGCCCATTTATCGAAGATGGCTATAGGCTATAAATCATCACGCTACGATATGTAGGAGCCGAGTAGCGGGTGTAACCGCGGGACAGTAGCTAGTTATTAATATGTGTAATTTATTTTTATGTGATAAGATGGCAAACGAGCTACCGGATTACCGGATGGTAAGCAATCAGCGCTGGTCTTGGACACTCGCAACAATGATAGTGTTACGAGTTTGTTGCCTTTTAGGAATTAGGATTTTGGGGATTTAGGGATTGGGAACGATTGGGCAGTCCAGTTGTGACACACATAAGAGTAATTTTCTTCATTCAAATAGAACAATAATATCAGAATATTTTTAATTAGTGACGTTGAACATATACATCCTTTACATATTTAAGATTTTACAATGATGTTTTTGTATTGTCATCAGTGTGCACGTAGTTTTCGGTACGGTAATCAGCGGCGCGGCGCTGGTGAGGCAGCTGGAGGCGCTGCCCGTCGACCGCAACGCGCGCCCGCTGCAGGACGTCGCCGTCACCAACTGTGGACAGCTCGTTAGACTCACTGGTCAGTATAAATTGACTCTTATTCCTTCTTAGACCTCACAGCTATCTATCTGTTTCCTGAGTGTATATCATGAACCTTGATAGCTACAGAGTTGAAATTTAGGCAAGTGGAGTAAAAATCTTGCCGCTGTACAAACAAGATAAATTATAGAACCATTTTTGCGCGAGTCTGATTCGCCGATAACTTTTTTTTTAACTTTTTTTTTAACATTGATCTAACCATTAAAAAATCAGCCCTAAATGAAATATTTTATATTTATCTTCACTTTCATATTCAACTATGTAACATTGAATAATAATGTTAACAGCAAAGAAACGTAAACAAGAGAAGGAAGAGAAAGAGGAAAGTGATGCTGACTCTGACCAATCTCAGAAGAAAGATAAAAAGAAGAAGAAAGATAAGAAGGAGAAAAAGAAGAAGAGGTATGTCAAATGATTTAAAAAAGTATTTTTAGTTAGTTCCGACTTAGCTGTTAAGAGTAGTCGACCAACCTTATCTAGAATTATGTTCTTTGTAATAAGGACGTATATATAAAAATGGTTTTCTAGGCTATTTACAAGAATTAGAGATTAAAGTTTAAAACACAGACTGACACTTTTTATATTTTACTAGTAGACCCAGCCACGCGTTGCTGTGGCTAAGGTTCTTGTCATATTACATAATATGGACAAATAATTTGCAATAAAATAATATTGCGACTATTAATTGAGATCCGCTATTGAGATAAGCTATCCTATCTTTCAAGTCGGATCAAAATGCGCTCGGAATGCAAATAAATTTAAAAACGGTTTAGTAGTTTAGGAGTCCATCGCGGACGAACACGTGACACAAAATGTATATACAATAAAGATTATTTTGTTTGACGTTCTATGTGGCTTTTATTTTTAGATAAGTAAGAAACAAGTGCTGTATTGTATTAAAAGTTTTAACATTTTTTTCCATGAAAAGGCGTCACTCCAGTGCATCGGGTGATGAGGAAGAAACTCCTGAAGCTCCGGCCCACCCCCTAGTAACTACCTCCAAGATAGACCCGAGGGAGATACCTGATGTGCCCACCAACAGGTTCCTCATGAGAGGTGGAAGGGATCAGGATGACAGGAGTGATCCTAGGAAGGATAGAGAGAGGTAATGTATTGTGAGGAAATAACAGTGGAGTGATAGTAGTGAAAGAAAGAATGAAGAGTTTTATAATTGCTTGAGCTGTATTTAAGTCAATTATATTTGTTTGTTTTTGAGTAAGTCAAGTATCTACCTACTAATAATAGATGAATATTTAAAACTTGAATGTTCTAATCATAATAATTTTTCAAACACCCTTAATAATGTTTAATAAAGTGGTAGTTTAAGTGGTAGTGGTATAATGGCATAATTTTTAAGTAAATTTTTATTTTACAGTTTCTATGAATTTCAAATGTGAGTTAAATTAATAGATTTTCTTTAATATTTAACTTGTCCATGAAATACTTTTATGCTAAAAGTTATTATAATCTAGCTTCTAGTAGAACCTTGTAAAAAATCTATCGAAATCAGTACAGGCATTCAGGAGTTCAGTAACACACCATAATTAATATGATGACGAATTCGATTTTTTTTTTATATAAAAAAATTATTCATTTCATTGAGTTTTAGATAACCAAATTACAACACTTATTTACTCAATACTTATTTCTGTTAAATTAATTAAAGTAAGATTTTGCAAATCTTAAAATCTTACTTTAAAGATAATTCTAATTAATTAAAAAACTTACATTAATCGGTGGGAGTATCGTTATTTTTAAATACTGTAATAGATTTATTTGTGGCAACTTTTTATTTTTGAACTGTTGGTAAAATGTTGCCATTGACAATTACTATTATAACCTGTTATTTAGTGTAGGAGTGAATAATGCTTTGTCTCCTAGGATGAGGTACCGCGAGAGGGAGCATCGTTCCTACACGCGGAGCGGGAGGATAATCAAAGGAAGAGGCGTGTTTGTAAGTGGTTTTTATATTGATTTATTATTACTTTAAAGTACCTAAAAAGAGCTTTTAAAATTATGATGTAATGTGTAGACCGCATACCCTCTAACCCTAGAATAAATCTTTATTTTATCACAATAATTAATCTATAAGTAAATATTAATTGGCGTCAAATGTTAGTTGTCGGCCATCGCTGAAAATAAGCGCTGCGACACTGTCTCACATAGTGTCGCTGCATATGCTGAGCGGGGGCCATTTCGCGTGGTTGTGATGCATTTTTTTCCTTATTTTACTTACTCTGTTTTATATTGTATATCCATGTTTTTTTTTTTTGTTTTATGTTTAAACACTTATTTTATTTTGTGTCTAATGTGCGTCCTAGAAGCGAATAAATACTTTTTCTTTCTTTCTTAATTTAGTACCCTTTGTATTAATAAAGGGTACTAAATTAATATAAATGTGTACTTATATATAGATATGTGTATTTTTTATATGATTATGTAGGTTTATGGTATAGTCACAATAGGTATGTAAATCTAGCTTGCTTCTTTTATCTACCTACCCCAAGGTAAACCTCACCCTAAGGTAGACTGGAAGAGAATGCTCATTGCATTAATTGTGCCATACGCACAATTTTGCTTGTGCAAAAAGTGAAAAATAAATTACTCGTGGTTTTAATCTAATTGTCTTCATATGGCCTTTATTGCGCAAGCGTAATCTATATCATTACGTTAAAGTACATTAGGAGGAACGGAGTGGACTTTCTAAGAGTCTAAAGCTCTCTACTAGCCTCACCCTCCAGAGGATGAATTATTATAAATATATGATTTTTAGCGTTACCGCACCCCGTCTCGGTCGCGGTCCCGCTCCCGGTCCGTGACTCCCCCGCATTGGAGGCAGGCGCAGCGTCGGATCATCAAACTGTCCGAATTTGAGGTAAGTATTCCAACAATATGCTTTTTATCCTATAAGATCACGGTTTTTCACGAAAAGAATAGAAGTGTGGGAGAGCCATGCTTCGGCACAAATGGGTCGGCTCGACCGGAGTGATACCACGGCCTCACAGAAAACCGGCGTGAAACAACCACAACGTTGTATTTCGCCGTGTGAGTAAGGTTACCGGCGGCCCAATCCTTCCCCTCCCCCAATCCCTCCTCAATCCTTAAATCTCCAAATCCCTAATCCCTAAAAGGTCGGCAACGCACTCGTAACTCTTCCGTTGCGAGTGTCCTTGGGCGGCGCTGATTGCTTACCATCAGGTAATCCGTCGGTTCGTTTGCCGATCCATTACATAAAAAAATAGAAGCCTTCAGAAAGAAAAACCAGAGATGTATTGTAACAGATTTATAAAGCTTAAAATATTTTTGTGACTGTTACGAAAGCTATTGAACAAATTTTTTGCCTGGAAGAGCGAGCAACGTTGTTGGTAGAAGCTAGTATATGACCATAATAAGACAAAATATAGATTGAGGTGACCATCAGTTGCTTCTACCGTTGTAAGCTTAGATTACTAATAGCAAAACTACAGATTAAATATTTTTTGTATGATGTGTCCATTAAAATGCTTGGTATGTGTACACTTTTCTATCATTTTAGTCGTCCGTGAAAAATGGTCTTGTTGCTAACAAGACCATCAAATTTTTTTTATTTAAAAAAAATATTTAATATAAATACATTATTCCTGGAATTTTATAAATTACTTTGGTTTAATTTTGCCCCGATATTACAGATTCCTTAAAAACTTACCTCTTCTGTTGGTACAAAATAAATAAATAATACAAACCTTTCCAGCGAGCTGAGCAAGAGAGGTCGGAGAAGGAACATGAGGTCACCAAGAGGAAAGAGATAGAGAAAATACATAGCCGTAAGTTTGTTTCTAACTGTATTATTTAATCTTAATAATACCAAACCAACGCATTGCACACGTTTTGTTGCCTCTAAAGAGGAAGGATTACTGATTTACTCGTCGCACTATTTCTCCCAACATTGCCATCAAGATCGAGAAATAGTAACCATGGCAACTGTGTGACCAATTCTTTGGTCAGTCTTGTTCTTGCGTATTGTAACGTCACGCTCGTTTTGACACTGTATTTGACTTTCTTACAGAGTATATATAAGCTTAATAATTAAAACTTATAGATTTGTTAATGAGATAAAAAAATGATGTGATGTTTCCATAAGCTATAATTTAGTATCCTTCTTTTTATATTGAATGTTTACAACTGTCAAATAACCAATTAATTTGTGTTAAGAAATCGCACAGAGATTGTCAATGTCTGAATAATGCTAAACTGTATCCAATTTCCACCACAACACTGTGCCAAAAAAGAGTGCAAACAATTGCCAGGGTAGTTTGCTCAATCTCTTTAAAGTAAAAAAAACACAGTCAAAAGAATAGTGCTCAGTTTTTAAGCAGTGATCACCTTTTATACATATATCAATCAGCTATCTTGCAAAAGCATTCATCAACCATTAATTCTACTCCATTACACACACAACCCCATATGAATACTTCATATACATATTTTATAAAGAAAATGACTACTAAATACGCACGGACATACATTCACAATCTATCTATACGCTAAAGACATAACTTCTCTAAAATCATAGAAAAGTTGTTCCGTTTCTAGGTGATGCCGAGGGTACGACCCCAGACAACCATCCCGATGAGAAAGAGGAGGGGGAATGTGATTCTACTCTGGGTTAGTATACTATGGGTCAGGTAAATCAGGCCTATTGTCCCCTTCGACAAGTGAGAAGTGGTCTTTTCTCGGTGGAACAACATTCACCATTAGCATCCAATGAATTTTCGTGATTCTGATAATGTTGTCAGTCTACCTAGCAGGCTTTCTGGCAAATTTCTACATTTTGAGTTTTGACCCGCAAAAATTAGCTCTATCGCTTGGTAGATAACTCTGTCCCTCTCTGTTTAACAGTTTCAGTTACATTATAAGATAAATATCCTGATAAATGTCCATCACAACTAATAACGTTTACAACTTGAAATGTGCTGTAATTAAAAAATTGCCTAGGGAAAATCTCTGGTGGTACTGACCACTTACTAGCTTTTGCCCGTAATTTCGTTCGCGTGTAATAGTGACTGTCCTGCAGAATTTTGGTATAAAAACAATCTTATGCTATGTCCTTTCTCGCGTTCCAAACTATGTTTTTACCAAATTTTACAGGAATCGGTTCATTAGTTTAGGCGTAAAGAAAAGACAGACAGACAGAGTTACTTCCGCATTTTTAATATTAGTTTGAATTATAGTTGCGGTAGAACCATATCCTATTTTTATATGTGATACCACGGCCTCACAGGCGTTAAACAACGCATGCATTGTGTTACGTCATGTGAGCGAGAAAACAGCTGAAAGACCCTCTTAATTAACGTTTCTTAATTATAAACTTTTACTGTGTGTTTATGTAACTCCCTTCTAGTAATAATTTTGTGATTTTCAGATCGTTCTCAAACGGACCGAGTGGATTACAATGCTCTGGACTTTGAAGAGGATATAGAGCATGACGGTAAATGTTTTACAGTTTTTATGGTGACAGTGCATTCTATTGTATGGTTTATTTAAAATAGTATTATTTATAACAATATTACTTTTTCTTACAAATGATATTTTTCTGACAAGATTGATTGGTATTTCTAATGCTCTGTTTGTTAATGTCCGGGAAGCAGGTACAGGCCCTGTAAACTCATGTTCAACGGGGAAATGTATCATAATTATGTTAGCTTTCACACGGTCGTGGTTTTAACATATACGTAAATTTAAGTCGGACTCTCGACACCGGTGATCTACCAACCTGGGTATCCAGATGGATTTAGAAGACAATTACTATAGTTATTATTAGTAATTATTATTTTTACTTTTCATATAATGAATTATTCACATTCCACAATATATTTACTTAATTTTCTATTTTTACTGATGATGAGACAGTACGGATTACGGCTGATGAGATCACAACATATTGCGGTTTTTTGAAATTTATGTACAAACTTCCGTATTGTTGATACTAACATTGAATATTTAAAATGTCTTATCGATTATTACAACTCATGTATGATTTACAAGGGCTAAGCAAAAATAGCACTTTTATTAACTTGTGTGTATAGTATATTAGCTGTATGTTTGAACAGCATTAATATAATATTATGTATTGTTTTCCTTTGTGACAACATTTATGTATGTATTCTATTTACTTGGTGTTGGTACATAAAATATTGTATTTAAAAGCTTCGTTCTTTTCTTTCCCATGTTAAAAGTAAACTATATTAGTTGTATTGTTTCGTTTTAATTTTATTTATACCTTATTCATGTTAATGTAGGAATATGTGTAGATTTTTAAATATTTTTTTTTATGTATTTATATCGTTTTCTTAATAGATACATCTCACAAACGCAAGCCGGCTGAGAAAGTGGATCGTCGACGTGAATTGCGTCGCACCCCTGAGAACAGAGCTGAAATGTTGGCCTTAGCGCTAGGTGTCAACCCTAAGCATGATCAACAAAGGTACGTACAGCTGTAAATTGCTAATGTAACTCTTATATGTAACGAAATAAAGTTGATGTTAAGTTTTCGGTTCTTTTTCTTCCCTATGTTTGATGTATGTATGTTTTAATTTTCATATTTTTTTACAGTAATTTTTTAAATAGTTTCATCAAGGTTTTCTTACTTTATTTATTATTTTGTTGTTGTCCGTCAGTCTATACCGAACCCAAACCCTTTAAAATCCTTAGATAACCCACACACCCTAACTATTTAAAACCTTTTAGTGACGCTGGTTCCTTCAGCAGAGACTCCAGAGACAGTCGCGAGTCCAATCGACGTCGCGAAGGCCTGGCTTCCACAGTGGGATACGCGTCCAAACTGTCCTCGGCTGTCGGTAATGTTTCTGAAGGTCTGGCTAAAGGACACCATGAAGAAAAAAGCAAAGATGGCTACGATCCCTTCAGTTTACTAAGAAGTACTTTTAACAGAGGGGAGAAGAAGGATCAGAATAATCAAAGGTAGGTAAGATTTTGGTGATTAATGGAGATTGTTGTTGTTGTCAATGTTTTTTGTTTATACTGGGAAGTAATGTAATTTTTCGAACTTAAAATTGTCTGTAATAGAAAGAAAGATAATAGTTATTAGATAAACTGCTATATCATCGTACTCATTCGCATCATCTTCCATCCCTTAGAAAAGAAGGGGATCGTCGTGAAGCCATTAAAGCCCGTTTAGGTGAAAAAGAGAAAGACAAAGAAGATAGACGCGACCGTAAGACTGACAGAGAAGATAAGGATCGCAAACAACAAGAACATAAGAACGACAAAGAAGACAGAAGTCGCAGATACGACAATAAAGAAGAAAAAACTCGAAAACTGTCAGAAATAGGCGATAAAGAAGAAAGAGTGCGGAAAACTTCTGAGAAAGAAGATAGGGAAAGGAAAACATCGGAAAGAGATGATAGAAGGAGGCAGTCAGAGAAGAGTGAAAAAGAAGAAAGAACTAGGAAGCATAGCGAGAGAGATGAGAGGGACCATAGGAGGACCGATCGTCATAGGAGTGAGAGGTCTGAGCGTCGGGAGAAGAGCAAGGAAAGAGTTAGGAGTGATAAGAGTAGAGATAATGATAGGAGTAAGGCTAGGGATGATGATAAGAAGAGGAGACGGTCGCGTACTCCATCGCCGGCTAAAGACAGGTAAATATAAAATTTTCCATCAATCTTTTAACACAGATTCTATGATTGACGGCATTAAAGACTAATTAATTAATTAGTCCTTAATGAAAGATATCTGTTTTTCCGTGTTATTTCTATCTCACATTTAACCATGTTTAAAAAGAATTATCCCATATGGCGTAGCCTTATTTTTCCAGTTAAGACTTGATCAAGTAAATAGTGATTTTTTTATATTACTATTTAATAGATTCCCTATTTGAAAGGTTTTTGAACTAAAACTCATAATTTTTGTAGGTCCAAATCCCGTGACCGAAGGCCATCGGCGGCTGAGACCCGCGAGAAGAGTGGGGAGCGCACCCCCCTCGACGAGGAGAAGAAAAAGGTGGGTGTAAGTACTCGCAAACAGTTGGAAACTGGGTTTTATTTATTCATTGTAATCTAAATCTTATTTCTTAGGTTTTAAAGACTTGATTTTTGTATTTCCATAGATTTTACTCATATTGAGTTTCTGTCTGTAACAGACATTCTGGATCAAGATCTCTTGTTTGTGTAGATTTTACAGTGGAATTTTCAGTAATAATAATCATATTTTGTGTTTTGAAATTTGCGCCTTATTCCATAGAGCTTATAGCATAATTCGTGCAAAGTGATTGTTTTGTCATAAATATTTATATACTACCAAGCGTGGATCCAGACTTGAAAGGTTGTGGTCACAGCTACTAGAAAATCGGCTAAGTACGAGTCGGAGCATGGACATGCTCATTAACAATCATGCAAATCGTTTTTGCACTTATGAATTAGATTTCCTTTTTCTGAGCATCAGGACTTTGGCCTTAGGAATGTAAATAAACTTAGGAAGAAGTCGGACGATTTCTTCTAATTTCTAATAGTCAGTTTTGATCCAAACCTATTCCAATCACAAGTGTATTAAGGTTGTGGGCATGCCCATCGTGCCCACAACGGTGGATCCGCCCTTGTATACTACCTACTTATACCCCTGTAAAGTTACGTAATAAGTTTTTTTTCTTATTTAGCAAGAAGACGAGAGGAACGAAGCTCGCAAGGAATTGATGGAGATAGTTCGTCTGATCAAGTCCAGACAACGGGAACGAGAGAATAAAGCGTCTGGTAAGAAATATACCCTATTATACGAGATTTAAAGTTTAGTTTTGATTAAAATTTAAGTTTCGATGGTTTATACTGAAATAAAACTTTGTGCTTAAGTTATTAAAAGTAAAAGTTCAACTATTTATAAACTATGTAAGGATCCAAAGTAGCAGTAGTCTTTCCGCATCCCATTGAGGCAAAGACTTTTTAAGAGTGAGAATGGTGCTCTATAATAATCATAACTAAGACCTCTTCTGACACGGTGAAGGTGTATGAGCAACACGGAGGCTCAAGGTGATGGGTGATTTCAAACTTATAATTAGAAATTACTAGTCCAGGTTTCCGCAGGATGTGTGACATACACAATAGTGGTGTCTATTAATCTTAGATATGTGTATAACTTATAAAAAACCCATTGGTACTAGATAGGCTACGGCCCTGCATTAAGTCTGTAGAAGTTTTTTGAAAGTAGTAATTTTCGTATTCATTCTAGCGGTCCTAGCGAAGAAGAAACGTGAATCATCCGAATCAGACAGTTCAGACTCTGATGATGACAAGCGAAGGCGCCGGTCCTCTGATAGAGATCGTAGGAGAAGGAGCAGCTCCAGGTTAGTAAATGGTGGAATCAATGCAATTGCAACTTTAGTTTCAAAGTCGTTAAGTCCAAATTTAAGTTTATACCTACTCGAATGCCTCATTCAGACGATGCTGTTTTATAGACATCCTTGCTCATTACATACAATACGGTAGTCAAATTCAATACCTTTATCCAAATGTCAACAACGATACTTTTCTATGAAATTTGTATGAAAAACGTGAGTTATGACGTCATAGTTTTTCTGCGTCAAATAGCTTACTTATTTCTTAAAAATATGCTAAATATCTAAAATTCAGTGTATCGATCGATCGATGAATAAAAGTATAGTTATTTTTTATTATTTTTTTGTATTGAAACGTCGAATCAATTTATTTTTGACCTAGGAAACTACCCAACTAATCAAAGCAGTGCAGTATCATTTCTATAATTGTTTACTTTTTTTAATTAACTTTTTACCTTTAATTTATTGAAAAATATTGTTCTTTTGTGTTGAACAAAAAGAATATTTGACCTTGGTAAATAAGTAAATCATAGAACCATCCCCTAATACAATACCTTATAGGTAATTTATTTCGATTTTGTATGTTCTATCGTCTATACATTTTATCCGTTAATATATAGATGGCATATTTTACTAAGTGCCCATTTTCATCCCATATTTCCATTCCTAGGGGTCGCCACTCGAGCTCGGAGCGGCGCTCGCGCAGACGTCGGTCGCGCAGCCCGCGCCGCGACCGCAGAGATCGCAGACGGTCCTCCTCCTCACGCTAAACACACGTGTCTTATTAATTCTTAATAAATATGCTAATTTACTCTACAAACGTAAATAAACATTTTCATTTTGGTACTATATTAGGTCCTGTCTGTGAAAATTATGTTTTATCGACATTTTAATGGAAAGATATATGTAAAACATAATTGTTTTTATCTTTTAGTGCATTAATTACTGTAATGTAGATTTTTTTGTTACTATGCAACGTGTCTGTCTGAAAAATCTTGCAAAATTTCGTGTTTCTGTTGTGTCCATTCCACAATTGGCGCAGTGGTTGTCCGACTGGATGTTGCCCGAGGGTTACGTTACGACATCAAAGGTTTAAAATAAAGGTAAAGGCTTCTTAAAAGAAAAACACTTATGATTACTTACCATCGGGATCAGTTGCTGCTTGTCTGCTCGTTTGCCTTCGAATTTTCTAACAGAAGGTAATCATGTCATCCATTTTAGCACATAACTATTTGAAAGCTACATTGAAAGGACGAACTGGACCATAAGTCACACTAGCGCCACCTGGTTTGAGTAGAAAACGATCCTTTCGTTTATATTGTAATTTGACTTTGTTTTAGTTGTACTCAGAGACGTTCAATGAGTACATAAACCATCCCTTAGTAACGATTTTATTCCGAAAACAATTACTAAGGATTGAAATAGCTTAACCTTCAATGTGGATGTAAGCTATATTCTGTTTTCCGTTAACATTTTAATGATTGGAAACAGTCTTTTTTATTATTTTCCATTGGCTTCTCTTCTTGTCTATTAAAACCTGCGTGCCGTATACACGAATATACTTGACGACATGCCACTTGTGTGTATTACTATGCAGATCTATCAAAATGTTTACATTCGATAATATACGGATAGGGACAAAAATTACTAACATCCGGTTTCTGAAAGGCTTGCAAACGCTAAAATTAACTAATCTCCTGTTAAATCTCTTGTCAAGTCATCTGATTGGTTGTTGATAATTCAGTCAACCAATCAGATGACTTGACAAGAGATTAAATTGATTTTAACATTGATCGGCCTTTCGGAAACCGGGTGTGAGTATGTAAAATTTTGTGACATAATTTTTCACTTGAAAGTTAAATATTTTATTTACTTCTTACAAACGGAATAAAATACTTTAAAGTGTGTTTCTATTGTATCATTTGGTGGTCCTTCAAAATACGTATATTGTCTTGCAACATTTTATTTATCACAAATTATCTTAATCCTCATATCCTTGTCTTAAAGGTTGTCCATGGGCGGCGCTAATTTGCTTTCCTTCAGGTAATCCGTCTATTTGTTTGAAGCCTACTATAAAAAATATTCTACTATGCTGTACCTCGACACATTTCCAATTATTGTGTGTATAAGTTCTATGAATTAAGAACGTCCTTTTGTTTATAAGTCGGTTAAAATAGGAGTTTTTGTTTTTACAGTAGATTATCAATGTCTACAAGTATACTTTTAAGTAAGAAATAGTTTCAAATTTATATTGTATGACAAGTGTGCTATTATGTAATTAAATGAAGTTTTAAGTTGAATTTTTTGTTTTATTGTTTACCTATAAAACACTTTTACTCTTTTCTGGGTATTCTGGGTATACGTGATAACTAGAAGATGAACAAAGCAGTAATTAATACAAAAAAGAAAAATTCCGTATGTTGTAACCATAACAATATGGCTGCTCAGGGATTCAGCTATTTTGTTTTTGTTGGGGGAAAATTTTCAAATGGCTTTTCTCGTCCAGGCTGAGGTATACTAAGTTAACTGAGGCGAGAGGGAGTGTCAGACTCTTACTGTCTAAAAACCACCCCCATTACTTCTCCTGCTCTAGAACGGCTTGCGGTAAGTTAGGAAAACAACAGGGCATCACAGCGTTATGTTTCGCCGTGTGATTGAGGTTACCGGAAGCCCAATCCTTCCCTTCCCCCGATCCTTCCCCAATCCCTTAATCTCCAAAACCCTAATCCCTAAAAGGTCGGTAACGCCCTCGTTTCGGCTCTGTTGTTGTGGGTGTCTATGGGCGGCGCTGATTGCTTAGCATCAGGTAATCCGTCAGCTCGTTTGCCGAACTCTGAACCGAACAAATTTCTCTGTATTCAATAATTCCACAATTGTAACAATAAGTTGGCTGCAGATTCGCAAGAGTAGGTAGGATTTGAAAAAGATTCGAGCGTTTCGGGGCAATCCTGATAAGGTGCCTCGGCCTCGGCTTGGAGCAGGAGAAGGAACTAGGTGGTGTTTGGTCAGTAAGAGTTTAACACTCCATCTCGTCGCACCAGGTCGAGAAAAGTTTGTTTTTTTTTGCTTTTTAGAAAAACGTTGCCCCACATTAGGATTTACTCCTGTGTCGTGGAACAACAATTTGTGGATCACACAAAGAGTTGTTCCATGCGGGAATCGAACCCGCGTCGCGTTGCACAGCAGCCAGCGGCCTAGCCACCGCACTAACCGTGCGGTACCGGTGTTACCAAAAAGTAATTTCATGATATTCCCACCTCAAACAAAAGGGGTCTTGATCGTACTTCCGCAATTGCTTGGATAATCTCGGGATGCCCTTCTCCAAACAGCCTAACCTATTTTGTCCCCGTCTCGCTACATATGCTACCGGACGTTTCCGGGGCCCATTACTTTAGTTTACCAGTCACCCCTTGCTTATTTATCCGTAAGTACCTAAGTATTACCATTGGACAGGGAATAGTATTCCCGTAGTTATCATGTCTGTCCATAGCCACATTAGTAACCATATAATTTTATACCATAATGCATAATAGTCCTGCATCAACCGGGGATTGTCCTTGGGTGCATTTTCGTAGTGTATACCTACAAACACATAATTACCGGCTGATGTGCCACCACATTTAGATTCAAATTGTTCCAATGGCCTCTGCAAGTTAGTTTCGGCCCCTCGTACATCTCCCAAAGGACCTAGTATCGTGCAGTCCCGTGAAAGGTAAAGGACATCAATAATAAAGGCGAACTTTTTTCACAACACTATTTGATCACGTGCTTCTGCACGAATGGTTCTGCTCGACTCGATTGGTAGTGATACCACTTCTCAGTTACAGTTACAAGTTTGAGTTAGGTTATAGGCCTCCCTCAAATGACGATATAACCACTATGCCTCCCATGGTTTGGCTATGCCTATGCCTCCTGTGGTGTGGTTATATCATCCACCGAAAGGACAGCAATTTTAACCCTTTTGAACTCTAGTTTTACATAAGCGCGTAATGCATCAGGTGATCTAATTACTCATTTAGCTGTGACCCCCTATCCACTGAATTCTGAATTCGGCATTGCTACCAAATCAGTTCAGCCGTTTTTACGTGAAAGAATAACAAACACACATCCATACATTTTCACAAACTTTCAAATTTATAATATTATGTAGGTATAGTAGGATAAGGTTTTATGCTTAGCTTTGAGGAAATTATAGTAACCACGAAATGTTTATGTAGGTAGTTGTGTTTACTTAATTATATGTAGTATGTAGGTACTTCTTTTTCCCGGTATTAAAGCCATTTAGGATTAAAAAATAGTTACTCCTGTACAAGCATGGAAGGCCAGTCTGCTACATTGGTGCCTATAGGCGAACATTTTTCATGTTTGTTGAATAATAATAAACAGGTAGGTACTTACCTACGCATCTAGGTACCACAAGTTTTAAAATTTACTTTTACCTAAAAACATAGGCATCCAAATCAACGGAGTAGCAATTATCGAGCAAAACCTTTGTATCTGTGTGAATCCTACTAAGATCCAGATTGATATTAGCTAGGTTTAATCATTGAACAATGAAAATCGTGAATCGCACGTTCTAAAAATTTGGACGAACCACTAATCGCTGTTATAAGTATGGTATACACATGTGTCTAAAGCCAAATGAGCTCAAGCTGTAGAACTTGTTAAATTGGTATCTATAAAGTTAGACCTTAATATTTTTGTGACCTGCAAACCGGGTGAACAACAGCCCTATTGGATTCTACTTGTAGTGATTTTTTGACTCGTGATTGCTTGAGGAGCGCGCCAAACGCTTCATGGCGCACGCGTCGGTCTGGTTCTGGTCGGTCGCAAGTCACCCTTGCTCGCGGTACGCGGACCCGCGCTTAGGGTAACCGGAGATCGTCACTCGATCCCCGAAGCCCGGAGTGTCTCCTTCTGCAGCGGCTTGGGCGCAATAAGGAAATTCCCTCCCGCTCTCCGCCTTCTTTGCGAGCATCAGAGCTTTGCATATAGAGGAGACGGCTTTCCAATTCGTCTCGCACAGCACTATGGCCTCGACGAAGGCCGGACGCGAGAGGTTCTATTTTATATTACACTAGCGGCCCGCCCCCGCTTCGCACGGGTCCAACTATCTCGCTGTCAAAGGGTCACTTTTTTCTTATCTTCCCCTCTACTTTTCTTTGATAAGAACCTTCTCCTGACAACAAAAAAATAATTAGCAAAATTGGTCCAGCCGTTGTTGACTTATGCAACACATTTTGCGATCCATTTTTATACATCTGCAGGAAGTTACTATACCACGTGAACAAAGTCGCGGGCAAAAGCCTAGTATTTAAATTAATGTGGAAGAGCCAAGCTTCGGCACGAATGTGTTGGCTCGACCGGAGTGATACCACGGCCTCACAGAAAACCGGCGTGAAACCACCACAGCGTTGTGTTTCGCCGTGTGAGTGAGGTTACCTAAGGCCCAATCATCCCCCAATCTGTACCTAGTCCCCAAATCTCCAAACCTTAATCCCCGAAAGGCCCGCAACGTACTTCGTTGTTGCGAGTGTCCATGAGATTACCGAAGCAACAAATATTGGCCAATATTATAAGGATTTTGGTCCTTCCGCTCATCTCGAAATGGAGCGTAGGTACAAAGGTCAGAAGTAAGTAAATGTACGCCAATTAATAAAACAGTATTTTAATACGTCCTAGGTATTTAAAAAAGTTACCTAACACTAAGGTACTTGCAAACATTGTTTCTCTACAAAAACTTTGATTCCGGCTTTCATTATTAAGGACCCAGTATCCGCTTAATTTTCTTAAAAATACAAATAATGTTGCATCATTCCTACATTTATTATGCAGTAGATTTAAATACTGATAACAATTCAAGGTGGTTTTGATAAGATCCTCACAGATTCACA